TTTTACTTGTTTTTGTGGCAAAAAATCTAAGTTGTTGATAGTGAACTGATAAAACATCACATCTAGTAACTGATCTGAAAAGTAAATCTTTTAAAGTTCACCTGAGGTTTTCTATAACCCCATGTTTAAGCTGGAAAAATAATTTTTAAGGGATAACTTTGTTATATGCATTTTATAGACTGCCCATTTACATAATAGACTTAAGCAATATTGTAAATAGTACAATATTGTAAACAGTACAATTTTTAGTGATAAGAAAGATCTCTGAGACATATTCAGTATGCTTGTGTCTTTCATGTTTAAAAATAAACCTCACCAGCACACAACCTAGACTTCCACAGATGGGAGATACGCATGCCCAGCAAAGGTCTGAGGGAACACACTCCACTGCCACGCAATCTCTCCTGAGAAAGGGACTGCAAAGCCCATCAGGAAATGCACATCAAAGGCCACTGTAGCTTTCTTTACTGGTAACATTTTCATTTTATACCAAGAGTATAGCAGTCTACTTCTTAGCGACATTGTTCATACTTCTAGTGTCCTTTACTTTCTTTCACACTCAGCCTGACCACATCAATCTGGCTGTTCTTCTCTGCGTGCAGCAGGACAGCACAGTTGCTGCTGGCACAGATTCAGGAGCCACAGTGCGTTCTGCTGTGGAACCGTGGCCATGTCAGAGGCAGTGGAGCAGACTTCCTAGGGCTGCAGTGAAGCATTAGCACTGAACCCATACAAAGTGTGGGAAGAGGGCCTAGCACCTACACTTCCCAGTAAGTTCTCCATACCCGTGTATAGTACCTCGTGTGCTCATACCATAATACTTGAAAAGCTTATTTTGCAAAAACAAAAATCTTGAAAACAGACACATTGAAAAAATGTTGCACAACAACAGTTCCATGAATGTACTGAAAGAAAGAAAGGAAACTGCACTTTATAGTTTTACAACCTGCTTTTTATGCTTGCAGCATCAAAGATAAGAAAAACTTGAGGATTGGGAGATGACTGCCAGGTGTTATTTCAGAAAAATGGTACATTTATGTTAGGATCAACCACAGTTCTTTGAGAAGGTTTTTTTTTTTTTTAACCACAGGCTCAAAACTGCTGAGTATTTCTGCTTGAAAGAAAAAAAGCTAGGAAGACCTTCAACGAAGAAAGGCTAATTGTACTCTCCGGTTTTACAACTGTTCACTTACCAGTGACTTTTTTTTTTAAATGTTTACCAGCATTTTGAGCTCTTGCCTAACAAATGATCTGTTCCTGGTTATTTGTGTGAGGCCTGTTTGTGTGTGCACGTGCTTTTAAATTAGAGATTATACTATGATGTTTTGGGATGAATAGAATTTTAATATTTTTATGTAGTCAGACCTAAACATTATGTTCAATGTTTAAACAGAATGAACATGTACTACTATTTACTATTACAACAATTTTTGTAAACTACTAAACTAGAAAATAATGACACAATATTATTGGTGACTTAATCTGAATTCAGGTTGAAGCCAACCACATAAATCAACAGTTATGGAAACAACCCCAAGGAAAGGCTGCAGCCCTCCAGGACGCGGGGCCCACCTGCCTTGGAACCACTGCCAGCAGCTAAAACTTCTGCTGTCAATGTTGCTTTGGCCTCAACTTCTTATTTCCCCCTAGAACAGACACCTTGATTCTTGAAGACTGTTGAAAATATATTGCAATAGAAGAAAGGATACCTACACTGCTTTGAATATACATGCAGCATTAGGAAAGCCTGCAAGGTGAGTAATCTAATGAACTAAATTAATATTCTTTATAATACATTTTGCACAGGAATATATTTAGCTATAGAAGTAAAGATTATATATGTTTTCATCAAAGAAATGATTATGACCTCATCTTCTAAAGTGACTTGCCCTCTCAGTATACTCCTCCAAGAGATTCACACACGCACACTCTCCCTATCTTTCTGGTTAATCACAAGGTCAGTGGTTCAAACCCTCTAAGGGGTTGCTATGAGTCAGAATCAATTTGATGGCAAAGGATTTGGGTTTTTGGTTCTTTATGGTTTTTTTTAGCTCCTATGAAATATAATCCCTGTGCATAAAATAAACACATGCAATAGGATATGTTCTATAACTTACAATTTTGTCTGATCCAAAGATATTCTCCAACTGTTCAGCAACTTCCCTTGTTCCATCTGGACTTCCATCATCTATGATTATAATTTCATAGTTGAACCCACTAAAATTAAAAAAAAAAAAAAGTCTGGGTTAGTATTTGGAGACAGTATTCTCAAATAATAATTATGCAAAGGAGAATGCAAAGTCTTATGGATCCCAGACTTCCAAGAGCCTTAAAGGTTGGATGAACCCCTGATACAATCTTTAAACCTTAAACCAAAAATACCACTGGATGTCGTCTTAAAAGCAAACAATAGTTTTAGCTGGACAAGTGAAAAATGCCTGCCTTGAGCACTGTGTTCTTTAAGAACGATCTCTACATTATCACAATGAAGTCCTGGGCTGCCTACTGCAGGGCTGGCAGCTCACACCCTGCAGCCCTGCCTCGGGAGTGGGATGTGGCAGTCTGCTCCCATAAAGATTTAATCTATTCTGCTTGATAGAGGCCACATTGAGTTGGATCAACTGGATGGCAGTGGGTTGGCTTTGATATGGATCAAAGTCACAATAGCACCTTGCAAGATTAGATAAGAAACATAGGGAACAGTGAACTTACATTGGGGGTGGGGGAGAGGCGCGAGACATGACTCAGAAAAGGAGATTGAGATGGAAATGGAATTGAATTGTGAAACCTTAGTATTAAGTAGTAGTTATGTAAAAGACTTCAAAAGAGATTTCAAGAAACCCAGTAATCATGCTTTAAGTAATCATCTAAAATTTTAAGCCCACATTGATTTATAAAAGTAATTGGGAATAAAATCAGACTTAATTACACTCTTAAAAAACAAAAACCTTAGTTTAGGATAATATGTCTTAAAAAAAAATCTGAGACAACTTTCAACAGTTGCACCCATCCCCCACCTCACAGCATCAAATGAAAAAGCACTCAAGATTTCACAGACCTATAAAATGAATGTATCTGTTACTTTCTGGAGATCCTGGGTTCCAGAAAGTTTACCTATTTATTCATGACCTGTGGTACATATAGTCACCACCTACATTTTCTCCCTCTGAGATTTAGTGGGAACATGCTATCCCACTTTTAGGGAGTGTTATCACTGAGTGAATCTACAGGGGCCTCATCCCACTGACTAGAGGCCTCTCACTAATTACATCAAAATCCTTTCAATTGTAATACCCTTCCCATACTGGTACACAAGGTTTCAACAACAAAATTCAAAACACAAAATAATTCTATTTTGAGACGGTTAAATGAAAGATTGGAAGTTCAAACCCATCTCAAGAGTCCCCTAAGGAAGTAAAGTTTCTCCTTCTAAAAAGTCAGCCTTGATTCTACTCTGCACAGGGAGACCCGCCAACTGGCCTGGTGGCAACTGTGATTTCACTTTGTTACTTTTCACCAACTTTCACTCCAGAGTCTCAAATCGAAAAGCTCCACAGAAACACTTCCTGGCAGATGAATAGTACATGGATGTACACTTGATCACCTACCACCTTTTTTCTAAAAGGACCTTCTTTTTAACTTTATTGGGAAACTTGAAGGGAAAGGAGAAGGAGGCACAGCCAATCCCAACACAGCACTGTTTCCTCCTGGCCAGACTTTCGGAAACATAGTGAAACTCAACCAGAAAACACAGCACACAGCTAAAGGCTTAAAAATGTGTGCCCACTGGAGGACTAAGAAGACTGAGTCTGATGAAGCAAGACTCTGCTGATATAATCCTCCTAGACAAAAGGGGTGGAGAGAGCAGCCCTTATGGAGAGCAGACTAGGATGTCTGCCCAGCAAATCTGGAGATGGTAAATACAATGACTTTAGCTTCCTACTATATCTTAAAACTAGATGTGTTTTACGAGCCAAAATATAGAAGTCCAACAGATGTGTCCTTTTTTGACATCTAATTCAAAACCCAAACCCAGTCATTCTTAGGCAAAACTACCTCTTACCCCCAATTTCAAAGCACCCACAACACCTGGGGGTGATATAGCTTAAAGAAGTTAAGCTGACTGCCTTTAGGTAACTTCACTACAGGGCAAGAGAAAATTATTTGTATCCTTGAATTAAAATTTCATGAGCATATACACAGGAACCACAACAAGATAAAGTTGCACGTTAAAAGAAAGAGGGAAAAAACCCCATGAAAATCAAGGTACAACCCAGGGATAAACTGAGTTATTTCCGATTTGAAAAGGCCGGTAGAAATCAAAAGAGAAAGGATACCCAACTACATTTTCAAAAGATGGAAATGCTATGAATAAAATTTTTGAGGGGCTATCAATGTGGAGATAGTTATCTCACTCAAAGAAATGCAAATATAGAATATTTTCTTCTGCCAAATACTTATTTCCAAAATGTAAGCAAGGCTCCAATAGCTTCTTAGGGTGGCTGGAGAGCTGTGAAGTGGTCCTCAGGGTTTTCTGAGCACCTCTCAGTGGACTCGGTATATCCACTGCAGGAACTTCACCCCCGGCATACTCTCCCAAAAGTAGGAGTGCATCTGTTGCAAGATTTAATTTATAAGGGAACAGTAGACAGTATTTTTTCGAAATGTGTGAAATAAAGTCGTTTGTTATTTGTAAAGCGAAGCCCAAAATAATACAAAAACACTCTGAAAATAATCTGTGTTCACTGTTAAGCCCCGCCTAAAAGTATGACAATACAGCCATATGGACTATTACCCAACTTTCAGTTCAAACTGCTGCTGGTCTGTGCTGATGCAAGAAGACCTTCAAGGATGTGTACAGCTTGATCCTATTTGTGGAACCCTAAAACAAGTTACCGGTACTTCGTACGGCTCAAGGGTTTCCAGAAGTTCTCTAAAACTTGTGCAACGCAAACCCAAACTCCAGCACCTCCCGCCCCCACCCCGTTTCGATCAAGCACAAGGGACAGGCTCATGTGACCTGCGTAGAAGCCGATCGGTCCTCTCCTTTCAAGAAAGGTTCTCCTGCGCAGCAGCGCCGTCAGCCCACCAAGACCAGACCTCGGCCTTACAGAGTTCTCGTCACCCGGCGGGGAGGGAGCACACTCGCTGGCCTCCGGTCGCACGCAATCTGGACAGCCTCTAGGGAAGAGTGAGGTCAGGCTGTCAGCCTGGCTCCCAAGGAAAAGAACGGCCGACTCGATGGAAAAAGAAAGTGGTGCTTCTCAAAAAGCAACGGGCAGGTAAGGAGCGCCGGGGCTCGCGTGGAAAACGAAATGTATCCGCCTGTTTTCCTCGCAGTCGTCTCCTCCCTGAGGCTGGCAGCACCAGACGAGAAGGGGCAGGCCGAGGCGGCCTCGCGCAGCCAACGACCGCCACTCGGGCGGGGGAAGCCAGCTCAGCGCCTGGCGGGGCGGCGGGCCGGGAGCGCTACCTCTCAGTGAAGCTCTTCACCAGCAGCCACACGATGAGCGGCAGGTTCTCGCGCTCGTTGTAGGTGGGTAGAAGCACCGAAAACTTGTCCCGCCGCGAGCCCCGCTCCTCCGGATCCCGGCGAGACCGAGGAAGGCTACGACTCACTCCCACAGAAGCCATGACGGAATTGGGCGGAAGCCGGAAGCGGAATGACGACAGCGGCGCCGGAAGAGGACGGGCCGGGCCGTACCAAGTACGGGAAGAGGGGACTAATCTCGTTCTCAGGTTTTCTATAGAATCACCTTGAAAGTAGTCATGATCTAGTAATCTTTAAAGTAATATCTGGGGCAATTTCATGGAATTTATATTTATTACCTTTGTGCTCCCTAAAGTACTGTAGTTATTCCAGTTGCTAGGAGACGGAAAACCGGAAAAGGAAATGCCATTCGCAACTTCCGGCAGAGGCCGCCATGGCAGCTAGCGAGGAGGTGCTCGCTCTGAAGGCTGAAGTTGCCCTCCGTGAGAAGGAGCTGAGTTCCTTGAAGCAGAAGTTGGCGGCGGCTCTTTTGGCGGAGCAGGAATCTGTGCCGGTGTCGCCGCTTCCGCCAAAGGCCGCTCTGTCCCGAGAGGAGATTCTGCGCTACAGCCGGCAGCTCGTGCTGCCCGAGTTGGGAGTGCGCGGACAGCTGCGCCTGGCGACCGCGTCGGTGCTGGTCGTGGGCTGTGGTGGGCTCGGCTGCCCACTGGCGCAGTACCTGGCAGCGGCCGGCGTGGGCCGCATCGGCCTGGTGGACTACGACGTCGTCGAGATGAGCAACCTGGCCCGCCAGGTGCTGCATGGTGAGGCGCTGGCTGGCCAGGCCAAGGCTTTTTCCGCAGCCGCCTCGCTGCGCCGTCTGAACTCTGCGGTGGAGTGCGTGCCCTATGCTCAGGCCCTCACGCCAGCCACAGCCTTAGATCTGGTCCGCCGGTACGACGTGGTGGCCGACTGTTCGGACAATGTGCCTACTCGCTACCTAGTTAACGACGCCTGTGTGTTGGCGGGCCGGCCCCTCGTGTCGGCCAGCGCCCTGCGCTTCGAGGGCCAGCTTACAGTCTACCACTATGACGGCGGGCCTTGCTATCGCTGTGTCTTTCCCCAGCCACCCCCAGTGGAGACGGTGACCAACTGCGCAGATGGTGGGGTGCTCGGGGTGGTAACCGGGGTGCTGGGCTGCCTGCAAGCGCTGGAAGTGCTGAAGATCGCCGCCCGCCTGGGCCCGTCGTACAGTGGCAGCCTGTTGCTCTTCGATGCCCTCGGAGGGTATTTCCGCTCCATTCAGCTGCGGAAGCGCAGGCCCGACTGTGCAGCTTGTGGGGAGCAGCCCACTGTCACCGACCTGCAGGACTACGAAGCCTTCTGTGGCTCCTCAGCCACCGATAAGTGTCGCTCCCTGCAGTTGCTGAGCCCAAAGGAACGCGTTTCTGTCACTGACTATCAGCGACTTCTGGATTCTGGGACGCCCCATCTGCTGCTGGATGTAAGGCCTCAAGTGGAGGTGGACATCTGTCACTTGCCTCATGCCCTGCACATCCCCCTCAAGCATTTAGAACGGAGGGATGCCAAGGGCCTGAAGCTCCTCGGGGAAGCCATCCGAGAAAGGAAGCCAGGCACGCAGGAAGGGGCAGCTCTCCCCGTCTATGTGATTTGCAAGCTGGGAAACGACTCCCAGAAAGCTGTGAAGATCCTGCAGGCCCTAACGGAGGCCCACGAGCTAGACGCGCTAACCGTGCAGGATGTTGTTGGGGGGCTCATGGCGTGGGCTGCCAAGATCGATGAGACATTTCCACAGTACTGAGATGGCAGGCTTTGGCAGACTTGGGATACTATGAATTGCCATGATACCTCAAAGATGTATTTATTTGCATTCTTCTATCGTGTGTGGAGGAGGCTGGGATTCTACAATTTTTGTAAATACTCTGGGTCCTGTTTTTATGAAGGGCTTTTTAATGGGGCTCATTTGGCTGACTTTTTCCTCTACAGGAGTTAAGAGTACTGTTTCTGAGATACCCCACCCCCATCCCCTACTGTTTGCATCATTTGGAGGGTGTCATGAGTCGTTGCTTGTAATATAAGGGACAGGATTTTGTACTTGAACCAGCAGATCATTCACTTATTCACCTACTGTTGTTTACCCCAAGGGCTCTCTAAGTGGTCCATTGTAGGGCTGGAACTGGAGTGTACAGGCTGACACTTAGCAAACCAAGCACTGGTTGGTTGTTGTTTAGTAAGCTATTTGGGTGTGGTTTCTTCTAGAATTTTTGAAACAAACACTTTAATATATAAAATTTTTTAATTATTTGAGAAGCATCATACAGTTAACCATTTTGAATAGTCCAAGACCTAACCTCTCATGCTCAGTTTTTAATAATATGAGCAAAATTAAAAGTAGACATTTAATACACGAGTCTGTATCAGTAGCAATTTGAAAATCTTATGCCCTGCCAAAAGGGGGTTTCTAGTCTCTGACTGATTGTTGCCAACACCCGTTGCCATCAGGTTATCTGTTTTGTTTTTTCCTGCAAGAGAAGGCAGGAATTAGATGTAAATGTGAAATCTTTGCAGGCTAGATATATCTTGCTGGTGACAAATTTGCAACTTCTGGAATGGCCTCTCATAAAAAGATTTTGTTCAAGGAGCAACTTCAAGATTAGAATAGTCATCACCTTTTTACTGGGAAACAACAGCGTGCACAAATATGCTGCTGTAGGAAAAGGGGAACAGGGTCTGACTGCTTCTCTTCAAATACATGACTGGATCTTGGAGGGGAGAGCACGGTTGGCTGGCCCACGTTGGGCTGCCCCTTAGGTTTTACGGACATGGCTGCTTCTGCCTTCCCATCTCGACCTGCAATGGATGCTTTCCCAGGAAGCCCACCACTCATGACTGTCCTTTGAGGGAGAAAGGAGGACCAGGGAAACCCTGATTTCCTGTCTTCTGAATCGGAGTCGGCTACAGTGTGTCTGACAGAGTCTGATGGTGCCTGCACCCTTGCTGTAAGGGAGTCTGGGGACTTTACAGGAGGCGGGCAGGGCTCGGATGTGACATTCTCATAAACAGCTCAAGAATATGACCTACCGGTTCCACCACCCAACCCCTTTGTTGTTTGAAATTTCACTTTCCCAGGGGACTTGGGTTAGAATGTGGTATGGACAGTGGTACCAAAGCTTTCAATGTTTTAAGAAAACATTTGGCTTTTTTTCTTCTTTCCCAAATCGGTTGTGTTAAAAAATGAATTCAAACATTCTGAGGTCTCCCAAATGAAACACACAATAGGGTGATTGACGCCTTTTGGCTTAAGTGGAGAGGATGTGTGAATCTGATATATAAGCCCCGTCCCTCCACCCAATTCAATAAAAACTGCATTAAGAGAAGAAAAGATCGATGTGCTGGGTCTTTTAAAAGTAGTGGACATAAGTGTTGGGGAAGCCCAAAGCAGCTTTGAAAATTTGCGGTTGTGTTTTTCATTTGTACTGTATTTATGAGCTAATCGCCTCAGTTAAAATATAAAGAAAAGTGTCTGTTTTTCCCCCATTTTAATGTCATCTAAATTGATAGACTAATATTTTTACAAAACTGAAGGTGCTACATGTACTTTCAAGCCTTTGTCAGATTTGATGAATGGGCTGTACAGAATTTTGAATGGAATTTCTTACGTAGCTGCATGATAAATAATCAGGGTGTAACTCAAAAAACCAAGCTCACTGCCATCAAGTCAATTCCGACTCACAGGGACCCTGTGAGACAAAGTAGAACTGCCCCTGTGCGTTTCAGAGACTGAAAAGTAAAAAAAAAAAAACGTAATCAAATTAATTTTATTTTTTTTAATTATTACTATTTTGAGACTGAAGATCTTTATGGGAGCGGGAAGCCTCATCTCTCTCCCTTGGATCGGCCGGTAGGTTTGGACTGCTCGTCTACAACCAAACTGGTCACCCACTGTGCCACCAGGGCTCTGTCAGGAAGTTGACCCATGGTGCTTTTGGAAGCGAACCTGCTGTGCTTGAGGCTGGTTTTTGTTAAGTGCCACTGTTGGCTCCAACTTGTGCCTGAAGTACCTTTCCCCTTCCTCACTTGTTTAGACCCACACCTTGATGGCCGGAGAAAGGAAAGAAATGGATTACATTTAAAGAGAAAGATTCACCGACCATATCATTACTTAAAAATGAGGCTTTTTAGTATCCATTAGGAGAAGCTTTGTGAAGGCTATCCTATCGTTTTGCAACTCTTACAACTAAAAAACATGAACGACAGCACAGAAAGTTTGAAAACAGGTGACCCAACACAAGAAAGTGTGGAAGTCTTTCCTTCCCACTCCTGGCCCCCAGTCCTTCCACTTCCGTGCGCAGAGACCCTTTGTGTGGCTGTTGAGGCGATTCATGCACAGCCAACACAAATCGCCAGTCAGGTCACCAGGGTTGGTGTCAGGCAGTGCAGTAACTCACTGTTTCCCTCACCACTGCCCCCACCCACATAGACCTCTTTCTGTACCCCACCGTACAGAATCCTTAGTAAAGTCTGTGATCATTTTTCATGACAGGTTAATATGTGGTATAGCAGTAAATTGTGTAAATGCAATATTTGTTACACTACGTGGATAGGTATTTGGGACATGCCATCTGAGAGACCAGTCCTAGGGGCAGCAATAGAGAGGAAAACCCTCAGAGAGATGGATCCACACAGCGGTTCCCGTGTTGGGCTCACACCTAATAAGTGTGAGGACGGTGCAGGACCGGTGGTAGTTTGTTCATTTGTGCCTGGGGCCACTGTGAGTCAGAACCAACACAGTGCCACCGAGCACCAATGGGTTTGGTAAAATCTTTACTTTGAATTACAATACTATTAGTAACAGCAGAAGCCTTTACATTTTTTTCTCCTTTAAATTATTACTTGATTCTCAAAAAAACCACAAACAAGGTAATAGCTTCACAAATATAATATGGTAGCTAACATCAGAAATTTGACAATCGATGCTACAAACAGCAATGAAGACAGTGTTGCACAGCTGTGTAAAGGAAACCATGTGATTCAAAGCATCATGCCTGGATATCAAGGATTTGTTCTTATTCTTTATTTTAATGTTTTTTTAATCGTTTTATTAGGGGCTTATACAACTCATCATAATCCATTCATACATCAATTGTGTAAAGCACATTTGTACATTCATTGCCCTCGTCATTCTCAAAACATTTGCTCTCCACTTAAGGCCCCGGCATCAGGTCCTCATTTTTCCCCCACCCTCCCCGCTCCCACCTCCCTCATGAGGCCTT